AAAGGTTAGGTTGAAGTGGGAAGATCTAGGTTAAGAGATAACAGTTAAAGTGAAGCCAGTTTTGAAGAAAATATTATTTAAAATTTTCAGAAGACCCCACATTTTTTGACTGGTTCGATGTGAGCAGCAATGACAGCAAAACATTCTACCAATGATTTTGCCACCAGTGCTTTTGATGTCAATATCAATCTAAAGTTTTCATTTTTTTTTTAAAGTAATTTTCTAGGCTCTTTCCTTTTAGAGAAATCCTTCAAAACATAAACCACTGTTATGGCTGAAAGTTTGTCCGGGTGATTTACCCTAGAAATCAGTTATTCATCCATTTACAGTGTGGCCACGCCCCCCAGCTGCTATCCCACCAGCATCATAGATAGGGCCTTACCAAATTCAGGACCCTACCAAATTCAGGGCCCATTTTGGTCAATTTCACTGTCATAGGATTTTAAAAATAGTAAATTTCATGGTTTCAGATATTTAAATCTGAAATTTCACAGTATTGTTAACCGTGGGGTTCCCAACCAAAATGGGGTAGTGGGGGGTTCACTATTGTAGGGGGCTCTCAGTATGGCCACCCTTACTTCTGTGCTGCTGCCTTCAGAGCTGAGCAGCCAGAGGGCAGCTGCTGGCCAGGCACCCAGCTCCGAAGGCAGCACCACCGCCAGCAGCAGCGCAGAAGGAAGGATGCAATACCACACCGTGCCCTGCCACACTCACTTCTGTGCCGTTGCTGGCAACAGTGCTGACTTCAGAGCTGGACTCCCAGCCAGCAGCTGCAGAGCTTCCTGCAGTCAGGGGAGAGTCCTGCAGATGATGGATGTGACCGGGCCTTGGGAGTGGCCCATGCAGAGGAAGGGGAAGTCTTGTCCCTCCCCAGCCTGTCCAGGACTAACAGCTGGAGCCTGGTGCTTGGGAGCCAAAGGGGCCTTGTACAGGCTGTGTGTGTGTGGAGGGGAGTGGTGGCCAGGGCACCCCACTGACCACAGGACCCCAGGCAGTCGCTCACTCGCCCACCTGTAAGGCCAGCCCGAAAGGGACACCCCCTCCCATACCATGCCATCTCACTTCTGCGCTGCTGTTGGCAGTGTCACTCCTTTCAAAGCTGGGCTCCTGGCCAGCAGCTGCCACTCTCTGGACACTCAACTCTGTGAAATCGGGTTTCCCCTTCAACAGCCAGATTTCACAGGGGAGATTAGATTTCATGGTCTGTGATGCATTTTTCACAGTCATGAATTTGGTAGGGCCCTAATCATGGAAGCCACTGGCTGCCAGTATTCCTACCCCAGGTTGCCGCTCTTTTTGCCCCCCATTCTGCCAAAGTATAGTGAATTTTACACACACACACACACACACACTTTCTACTAAGTTTCAACAGCTACCCTAGTAGCAACATTGAAACTGTCAGTACCTGCCCCAGCCCCGGAGCAACTGCAACTTCTGTAAATTTGTCACTGGGAAGATGATGAACAGGAGAGGGAAGCAGAGGCATGGATATCTCCTGTATGTGCTTCTGGGGAGATGTGCCACTCGGAGAGAAGACTGGGGCAGCAGATTTTTTCTACCTCTACGCTCCTGTGACCAGCAGGTGTGGACTAGAATTCTTCTTCTTCCGAGGAAGGTTGATGAAATTTATTTATTCAGCTTTGGCAGGCACGCAGATGGGCGCCAGATAAGACAGACATACTTCTATTATTTACTCTTCCAATGTCACTTTCTTATTTTAATAAGAGTACTAAATTATAGTTAAAATGTAAACACCTGTTATTTTATGTTGTTATAGCCTCACCCAAGAAGCTCATTATTACAATACAATACTTCCTACTTCTGTAATGGTTTGGTAATGTTAATGCACAAGAAACAATATAGGTGAAATAATCCCTTACTATTTTGACCAATGAAAATTAGGAAAGCAATTGAACTGTGCAGCCAGAGTAACTTGATTTCAACACTTTATGTAAAAAACAAAAAACCAAACCAAACCCAGAACACTTGTATTCCCAAACAGGGACAGGCTATCCATTTTATAAATGCATAAACAATATTAAAGAGTAGAATCAAATACTATAATAATTCATCTAAGCTTTATATCACACCCTCATAATTGTATCTGAAGAAAATCATAGAAATGTTGGACTGGAAGGGATATCTAGTTCAATTCTCTGCCTAGATATTGTCTAGACCATTCCTGACAGGTATTTGTCTAACCTCTTCTTAAAAACCTCCAATGATAAGATTCCACAACCTCCCTTGGTAACTTGTTCCAGTGCTTAACTACCCTTACAGTAAGGAAGTTTGTTCTCATGTATAACCTAAATCACCCTTGCTGCATTTTAAGCCCTTTACTTCTTGTCCTATTCTCAGTGGCTAGGGAGAACAATGTATCACCCTCCTCTTTATAACAACCTTTTACCAACTTGAAAACTTATGTCCCTCTTAAGTCTTCTCTTTGCCAAACTAAAGAAACAATTTTTTCAATCTTTCCTCATGCGTCATGTTTTCTAGACCTTTCATTATTTTTGTTTCTCTCCCTCTGGACTTTCCCCAATTTGTCCTCATCTTTCCTGAAGTGTGGTGCCCAGAATTGGACACAGTACACCAGCTGAGGCCTTATGACTGCTGAGTAGACTGCTGCTAATACACCCCAGAATGATGTTTGCTTTTTTTGCAACGGTGTTACATTGTTGACTCACATTTAGTTTGTGATCCACTATAACCCCCAGATCCTCTTCTGCAGTATCCATCCTAGGCAATCATTTACCATTTTGTATGTGTGCCACTGATTATTCCTTCCAAAGTGTAGTACGTTGCATTTGTCCTTATTGAATTTCATCCTGTTTATTTGAGACCATTTCTCCAGTTTGTCAAGATCGGTTTGACTTCTAGGACAGGAATGCTGTCCTCCAAAATGTTTGCAACCCCTCCTAGCTTGGTATTGTCCAAAAACTTTATAAATGTATACATTAAGTCATTATCCAAAGTATTTATGAAGATATTGTATAGAACTGGACCAAGGACAGATCCCTGCAGGACCCCACTCAATATCCTCTTCCAGCTTGACTGAACTATTGATAACCACTGTCTGAGTTGGCTTTTCCAGCCAGTTGTGCATCCACCTTATAGTAGGTTCATCTAGGCTATATTTCTCTAGTTTGTTTATGAGATGATCATGTGAGATAATATCAAAAGCTTTACTAAAGTCAAGATATATCACATCTATTGCTTCCCCCCCTATTTACAAGACTTGTTACCACATCAAAGGAGGATACTAGGCTGGTCTGACACGATTTGTTCTTGACAAATCCACTGTATCACTTAATTTTCTTCTACGTACTGATTATTTGTTCCACTGTTTTTCTGGGTATCAAAGTTAAGATGACTTGCCTATAATTCCCTGGTTGTCCTCATTCCTCTTTTTTATAGATGGGTACTATATTTGACCTTTTCCAGTCCTCTGGGATCTCTCCTGTCTTCCCCAAGTTCTCAACAATAATTGCTAAAGGCTCAGAGATCTCTTCAGTCAGTTCCTTAAGTGTTCTGTGGTCCTATCCACTTGAAAACCTGTCTAAGTAATGCTTGTTCTTTTCCCCTTTTTAGCCTCAGATCCTATCCCAGTTACACTCATGTTTCACTATATTAGTCATCCAATCACTACTAACCTTTCTGGTGAAAACTGAAACAAAAAAGACATTTAACACTTTGTTCATTGCTGTATTTTCCATTATTGTCTTTGCCACCTTATTGTGTAATGGGTTGATCCTATCCTTGGTCTTCCTCTTGCTTCTCTTGTATTTATAAAATGTTCTTCATGTCCTTAGGTAGTCTAATCTAATTTTTTGCCTTGACCTTTCTCATTTGTCCATACAAGCTTGTGTTGTTTTATTTATGTTCATAATTTGACCTAGTTTCCACTTTTTCTAGGACTCTTTTTTTGAGTTTCAGGTTTGTTGAAGATCTCCTGATTAAGCCAGGGTGAATACCTTCAGTATGACTAAGGGCTGGATCCACCACTGCTGACAACAAGAGGAGTTTTGCCATTGACTTCAGGAGGTATTGTAGGATGATTCTGGCCCTCACATGCTGCTCCAGTAGCATATAGGGGGTGCAGTGGAGTTCCAAAAGACCATGGTGAAAATTCTTCCACTGCAGGAGCTGCATAGAACCTATGTATGTAGCCCGAGATCCCCCCACCTTGCAAGCCCCACTGAAGTCATGCTAGGGAGCGAAGAGGATGGATTGTGGCTATGGTGTTGTTACTTGGCATCTATGGAAATTCTGTGCAGCAGTGCAGCCCATGGGCATCCACGGACAGGCAGCTGTCTCAGCCCTGACAGCAGCCAAGAATCTGGGTGCCACAAAAGTGGATTAATGCCACCTTTGGCTCCTGCCCACATTTCCCTGCACTGTGTTTTCTGTTATGCTCCTGGGAGGTCCTTTTTGATTAGATAGGTACATTAATATAAGAAGATTGTACAAAGCACAACATTTGAAACCTGGCACACTTTTAACTAACAAATATAAATTAATTATAGGAAAGTGATATATATATTCGCTACTCCTACACTTAATTCCAACTGCGTTGCATCTTATTGCTTGTGTTGTAGTAATCTGCACCACTGATGCTGCTAGGCATAAAGCCAAGCTCTCTAAAGAGCAGTTCACACCATGTCATGTGTTATTGTGATTATAAAATGTTAATTATTCAAAATATTTGTATTATTAATCAAACATTGATTCTCAGAAGATCAGAGCCATGACTGTATTTGGCACAACTCACTGCTCAGAAATTTATAGTCACTAGCCTCTTAGAATTTCTGAGAAACGAATTGTGTTGATTACTGTCATAGCTATGAATTATCAGCCAATGAGATCATCATATTTCCTTACTCATTTCATAAAATATTTTAGTTTACCTTCACCAACAATCATGTATATTACCTCAACTAAAAAATAATGCCTAAGAAAAGATATTAACAGTCTTTATTTTGTAATTTTGTTATCCTTACCTTCTCATATCCTCCTTTATGTGCAGATTGATCAATTCCTTGGGAACATGGAAAGAAAGAGTGCTCTCAGACATCTGTTCTCGGATATGCAGCCACTTGTTGTCAGAAGTGGGAAATCTATATAACTTACAGATTGGGTTTTTTAACACTGTAGAAAAGAAGAAATGATGGCACTGCTTAATTGTGGCTATATGTTTCTTTCAGAAGCGACTACAATGGTTTAGTCCACAAAGGTAACGTTATTTCTCTGTCCTCCTGTATTTCCAAACTTAAGTCCAAAGATAAATGTATTATTCATTAAAAGCATAGCACTGAAGGCTGCACTACCCAGTGCAGTAGATAATTAAATTCTACCTAGTACAGTAGGTATCTGGTACATTTATCATTACCGCTGCAGTAAGAATGCAAGCTCAAGCTCTCTAGCACATATTCATGGGACAAAAGTAAAAAAGCAACTTAACTGATGTGAAATCTCATGCTAAGAGCTGGTAACATTATCTGTAACCATCTGCAAGGTGTGTTATTGAACTCTCAGGCTTCCATACAGTTGAAACCATATAGGGCAGATGCAGCATATCCCAAAACGATTTAGATATTATGGTATATCCTTCCCTAGATACACATACACAAAGGTCATTAACACAAACAGGTGTTGCATATGCATTTTAAGAGGAAAATATGCCTCCCTGATATGTCACTGCAATCTAGCACCCTGCAGAACTGTATGTAACAATCTGGGCTCAATCCTGCAAGGCGCTGAGCACTCTGTCCCTAATCCAGAAAAGGTATTACTCTTGTGCTTAAATTCTTTGTCATGGAGTGCCAAGGTCTCAGCACCTTGCACTTTTAAGCCTAAGAACAGCATGTTTTTTCTCTCAGATCTGCTGCACAGTCATATTTTCATCAAAATTGCACAATGATGCTCTATAATGAGCCTGTGCAATTCCTGTGCTCTCCTTATCTCTGCCCTTGAGCCCTTTTCCTGTGCTCTACCGATTCTCCAGAAGAAGTACACAGGGGAAACCTAGAAAAGATACCTTTTCTTTTACTTCCTAGATAAGCTTACTGGGAGATAAATGTTTGTCATTAAAACACACACACACACACACACATCAGCTGCTTTTTAATTCAGAATGACTTTAGACTGCAATCTGAACCCTCCAACAATATCTCTCCATCAAGTTACTAATCTTTTCACATTACTGGTAAAAGCTGTGTTGGATCAGCCTCTCATCAATCCTGACACTCACTATTGTATAGTTCAAAGAAATGCATTACGTGTGATCACTTTGAAGAAACTGTTGCTCTTAAAAGCACATCAACAAGTGGAACTTGCAACCTACATTACAACTCACTACTGTGAGAAGTGCTCTCTCCCATTATTGCCTATGTACACTGATTCATGCAACATGAATAACACAGCTATAATTAACAAAGGCCAAACCATCAATGATTCACAAATGCACTTTTAAAAAAATCAGACTTGTTATGAAAATTAAAAAAAAAAACACTCCAGAAAAGGACTGAGATAAAAACAATAAAACTAGAGGATTTACATAAAAGAGATGTTTCAGAGGAACAGCCGTGTTAGTCTGTATTCGCAAAAAGAAAAGGAGTACTTCGTGAGAAGTGAGCTGTGGCTCACGAAAGCTCATGCTCAAATAAATTGGTTAGTCTCTAAGGTGCCACAAGTACTCCTTTTCTTTTCATAAAAGAGATGATTACTGGTAGGCAAAGTTACAACTCACTTCATAAAGAACCAATATTGCTCATGCTCATTTTTAAACAGCTCTTGTTTATTTCCAGGAACTGCCCTTTTTCTCTGGTTTTGAAGAAATTTCATGAAACTACTCTTCTTCCATGTAAAACTTAAGACCTCCAAGGTATCAACCTCTTTTTTATTAATAAGAAATTTACTTCTAAACTAAATTATTTAATATTAACAAAGAATAATTTTTAAAAGCAAACATAATAATTCTTAATGATGTTTAGCACAGATGAACAGCAGCATTTTTCGTCTACAGATCTCAAAGTACCTATACAAAAGTGATCAGGCATTATTGTTTTCATTTTACAGGTGAAGGAAACTGAGACATGGACGTTAAATGACTTGTCCAAGGTCACAAAGTATTTCTTTTCTAGTGCCTTATCCACTGTGATAGACGTCTGGGATTCAGAAGGATATATTCAAAATATCACTTGGTTCAAACACAATGAAACATTTCCTATTTTTTCTCTTTTGTTGTGACTTTAAGTTCATGAAAGATGTTTTATTGACAGCACTGAAGTCCTGTCTTAATCCATAGAACTGGCACTACACAGCAGTGTAAGATATCCCAATGTTCCTTAACCAAGACATGGAGTGACAAGCTTCAGACTTGAAAGGATAGTTCATATGTGTGGCTGATTCTGTTTTTTGCCAATGAGCAGAAAGCTGCCAACATGTTTGTCAACTCTAGTGCTTACTGTAATGTAGGAATCTGTTCACTATGAGTACATTTCAGATGCTAAACTAGGCATGAAAAGCTCTATACCATATTTAGCTTTATGGGGCATCCCATCCCTGTGTAACTTTTTGAATATTTGAAACATTTTCAAGAAAGAACCTGTAAATTTGCACTCACAACATGTAATAACTCACATTTGCCTGTGCAAACACAATGCACACTTAACTGCTATATCTGTGCATACAAATACTGTTTGTGTTTGCAAACACAGGAATCTGTATGTGCAATAATGCCAAAAAACTTTATAAAAGGGCCACCTTGAAAATTTGGCTCTAGAGTTTTTCTTTTTGCATTTAACCAGAGTATAGGCAACACAAAAACTAGTGAACAATTGTTGCTGTTGTATTGTCATCCTAGAAGTGTCTCCAGTGCTGACAAATGGCCAAAACTGCTATCCGCAAGCAGGGCCATCCTTCCCTATATGCAAAGCACGCAGCTGCGTAGGGCACCAGGAAATTTGGGTCACCTGTTGCTCCAACCCCTGGTCTGGCTCTTCCCCAGGCCCACACCCCTGCTCTGCCCCAGCCCCGTCCCTTCCCCGCCCCCACTCCCCTGAAGATTGCAGCCAGGCCCGACCCTGCACTCACCGCATGGTAAGTGGAGCGACCTGGCCCCAGCCTGCTCCGCTTCCCTGGTTCCCAGCCGCGCCGCCGGCGAGTGCTGGGGGGCGGTTACCCCTCTCCCCAAGCCTGGGAGCCAGGGAAGCAGAGCAGGCTGGTGTCAGGTCACTCCACTTCCCACAGGAAGTGGCCAGCCCCCGTCCCTCATGGAGGCCTGGGGCCAGCCCCTGCCACTCCTCCCCATGGAGGCCTGGGGCCCCATACCCCCCCACCCTGGGGGGGGGGGGCTGCATAGGGCACCAAAAACAGGGACGGCCCTGTCCGCAAGCTCAAGAGAAGCATTTCAATTGAAAACTCTGGATCATATCTTGCAAACCTTTGCTCAATACAGGAGTCAAGTAGTCTTATTTGCAGCTTTGTCAACTCTTGTGATTTCTTTGAGAATTTTCAGATATTTGGAATTTTTCTTAAAGCCCCAGCTCTTGGAGTTAGGTGATTATGTAACAATCTTGCTCTTTTTTTTTTTTTGGTTGCTTTGTTTTTTTAAGTTTCTAGACCTCATGGTTAGGGAGAAAAGCTTAGAAAACTTTAAAGGCTGAAAGCCAGAAGACAAATTAAAAAGCACCCCAAATTTATTATTGTTTAAATCTCATTATTTTTAAGACAGTCTCATGATTTTGAGGGGGTGTGCCTCATGACTTTTGAACGTTTGGCCTTGACAGCAATGCATTTAGCTTTTCTAACATACGGAGTAAAGGTTTGCCCAATCCAAAACTCCCTACATTTATAAAACTGTGAAATTTATGTAAAGAGAGACTTGCTTATGTACGAACTTTCAAAACATTTCACTGAGCAAAATGGAAAAAGTTCTCTTTTAAAAGTGCATCTACATGTGGAAGCCAGGAAATCACTGCTATGTATTTAACAACCTGCATTTTCTGACATTCTCACTGTAAATGTAAAGACCTCAGTATTTTCTGTTCCTTGGAAATCATTTACTTCTCCACATGCTATTCTTCACCCCCCACTTCAAATAAAACTTAAAAAACAAAAAGTGAACATTATTTCTTGTTTGAACTTCTGTTCACTGTCTATTGAAGATCAAAGCAAACTACCGTCATGTTGTAAATTCTCATACTGTTGCTATTTGTGGATTTTTCTCTCTAGAATAAAAGCAAGTATACATATTATTTCAGAAAAAAATAACTTCAGTTTTGTTCATTTTTATTAGATTTCAGTTACTTTTCTCCTCTTTCACACCTTTACTTGAAAAACATGGGAGAAAATTATTTTAATTTCCAGTATTATAAATGGATAAGTGAATTTCTAATAGTATAAATGAAGTCTTGAGATAAAAATGGAATAATGATGAGGCTCTATGAGATATGACATTCATTCACATCACTCAAGAAGTGCTTCACAACTCACTTGAGGTCTGTGAGTTTCATGTATTAAGATCCAGTCTTGAGATGAATGCCAATGTCCTACTATGCCTACTACCACTACTACTTTTTTTTTTTAAGTTTCATAGTTTCCCTGCCATGATAAACAACTCAAGACAGAGTCTCAAAAATTGATACTGTAATACACATATATAGGTACACACACAGGATATTACTCCTGGGGGAATTTCGTGCCACTGTGCAATGCAGAATTTGCGCAGAATTAATGTTCTGCACAGAATTTCATATTTTTCCCCGCAGAATTGGGGCTGCAGAGCTGCTGGTGTCCAGTAGGGGCCACTAGACTCTGCAGAGCCCAGCTCTCCAGCTCAAAGTGAGCAGAGCGCCCAGCAGCTCTGGCTGCCTGACTTGATCCTCATGAGCCCAGGGACAGGACAGGGCCTGGGAGACCCAGCTCTGGCAAAGGGTGAGGAAGGGCAGGGCCACACCACTTCCCCTGGTGGGACAGTAAAGAAGCTGACTGGAGGGAGGCTGCAGGTGTCTGTGATGGGGGGGGGGGTTCCCCACAGCTGGGCTCTGAGGGGAGAGGAGTGAGGGTGTCTGGGCTCTGGGAGTGCCCCACGGCTGGGCTGTGGGAAGAGAGGGGGTGAGTGTCTGGGTTCTGGGGGGCCACACATAGCACCTTCCAGCTGGAACTGGATCGTCGTATGGGGTTTCTTTAACTCTGTACTCCTGGGGGAATCTTTTTTGTTGTTGTCTGTATTGTTGACATACATTTTGAAATAAATTACCAAAGTAACTGAAACTGGAGTGTTATTTTGACAAATAAAATATGCGGAATTTAAAAATATTGTGCACAGAATTTTTAATTTTTTTGGTGCAGAATTCCCCAAGGAGTAAGTATATACAGTGTAGTATACATACACCAGAAAGAGAGACACTGTTATACACATTTACACATACAGAAAGAGAGAGAAAGCGTGAGGTATATAGAGAACATACATATGGGGAGAGAGAGAGAGAGAGATTCATATAAACCCAGATTTGTCGAGGTGATATCTATGTAATAAATTATAGAGCCATGTGATAAACTAATTTATCATGCATCTCTGATTCATAGGTAAAGTTCAGGTCACGTTACGAATCTCTCCCAGCCCCTAATCTCCCCCAAGTAGCTTCAATTAAAAAAAAAATAAAAAAAAAAATCAAGCAACCAGAAAAATATTTTCCATTCTCCCCCAATATGTGGGTTTCTCCCCCTCAAAACAAAACAAAACAAAAAAAAACCACCAGAGGCCCAGGATGGGCAAGACTCCTTACTGGATCTGTAACAGGTTTTTTATACATAAAAATGTCAGTTTTAAAATCCTGTATCTCAGAGTCATGCAGAACTAAAAATAGCAGCTTTACACGGTTACAGAGAGGCTTCCCATAATGGTTTCAAAGTTCACAAGAAGTATATTGTGATATTTTAAATATAAGGAAAAGTTATTTCAAGTCATTTTTAGAGATTTCTATGATGCCCTGTGAGACCTGAGCACTTGGACTCATGGTAAATAAGGCTTTACAGGTTTTTAAAAAACATATTTCTATCTGTAATGTATGTGGTGCAAAAAGAATACATGCTGGTGTGGTGTGTTTAGGGTGACCTGCATAGCTTTTTTTGTGGCTTTGTTACTGCTGAGGGATGTAAACTCCTACATTCAGGCTGATAACACTTTTAGAGCACTCCACTGCATCATGTAATCTCTCTTGGTATAATGAGAAAGAGAGCGAAATGGGCTGAGCATACAGACACTTCAAACCAAAGTCTGAAGTGAGCTCCGGAGCAGTTTCTGAACTCAGAATGCCCTGCCAGCAGCCCCTTCCTTTTAAAATCACAGAACTTTCAAGACAATCTCAGATAACATTGTATAAACAGTGGGAGAGGTGTACTCAGGAGTCAAATAATGTGTGTGCAATTATAACTACTTTATAGTCATTAACACAACACCATACGTTGCAAAAAACGGTGGGCCTCATCCAATGCTCACTGAAGTCAGTTGATGAAGTGAGCTGAAACTCACGAAAGCTTATGCACAAATAAATTTGTTAGTCTCTAAGGTGCCACAAGTCCTCCTTTTCTTTTTGCGGATACAGACTAACACGGCTGATACTCTGAAACCTGAAGTCAACTGGAGTCTTTCCACTGACTTCAATAGGCATTGGATTGGGCTCCAAATGTGAGAGTAATTCAGCAGAGAACCACTAAGTCTTACTTTTCAGGGCCAGTTTCTGCAAATCCTTCAAGTAGTCAACTGGACTCTACTCCAGCGAGTGAAGAAAGCTTCCAGAAGCAGGGATTTCAGGAAAACACTTTAAATCTCTAGTAGTTCTGAAACTCTTCAAAACTGGTGTTATTGTATAGCAGCACTTTGTCTTGGAATCAAATAGAAATCTACTCAAAATGCATTACAATATATACATAAAAGAATTAAAAACATCTTGTTGTTTGAACTGCTAAAATGCCCTTTGAACATCTTTTGTAGTTTGCTTTTATTAAACATTCATTGGCTGGTGCTTATATAGATGCAAATGTTAAACTTCAAATGAACATTAAATGGGGCACAACATTTTAAAAGTGCTCTGTTCAAAATCCTTGTATGCATGAGATTTCGGTGGTTTACCCTAAGTTCTCGCACTAAAAAAGATAACCTAATTATTTAAAGAATTGTTGATGTTATAACACATACCTGCATTTAATAGAGGTACGCTGTCTTTACCACTTATGCCTTCAGGTGCTGTACATTCACACACCAATGCACACTACAAAAGAAAAGATGTAACACTGTGAAAGGAAACATAACCAAAAATGGAATTTTTCAGAAGTTGCTGCAAAGAAACAGCTAAAACAGCTAAATATGAATGGCTTTGGGCAAAATATTTGTGATAAGCTATATTTCCAACCCTACCTGTTTTGTACAGCAATTTTATTTTTAATTACTAATTTTCTTTTTCCCTGTACAACTCAGTTGTAATATTTAATAATAGGTCGTAACACTGGAGTCTCTGTACAGAAGACAGCAAAACACGAAGGATTGTCCCAAAATGCTGTAGACAGAACTTTCCAACAGGACAATAGCAGAGTATAAAACAATTTTTGACAAGTTATATAATTTCAAAGGAATTTCTTTCAAGAGTTACTCTCAAAATCACAGCAGACAGGCAGTATTATTTAGTACAAAAGCTATTTTAAATGAGGGTTGGGCGGAAAGGGCGGGAATTTTTTTTTTTTTACTGTCCTCTTTCCTCACTTGATGATTTCATCTCTTAGCACTACTTACTTTTACATAATCTTCTAAACCATTTTTAATGGTTCCTCTTCTGGCTTCACACTCATGTATAATTCTGAGCTCTAATGTTTTAAGAAAGCTGTATTTTTAAATATTGTCAGCTGTTTTTTTTTTCTCCTTTCAAAGGCAGCACACCAACTTCTGTTGTGTTCTTGTATTTCTTTTAGGTCTAAATCCTAAACAACATACAGACAGACAAAGCATATAGCTATGCTTTGCATCATTCTGTTTAGTGCAGAATAAGATAGAAGGAATCTTTCCTTCATGTTTTGGAAAGGCTGACAAAGTACTTTTTAGCTTCTACTGCAACAGTAAGGCAGCCACAGCCTCTGGTGGCTGCTGCCATGCCCCCTTTCCACAGGGAGGTGTGAGAGAGGAAAAACAGATTTATATAGCAGCAGATATTCTGCTCTCATCTGTGCCTCTTCCATAGCCTTCCCAGCCTTGGCCCTATCTGCCCCCCATGCTCTCTAGTGCAAGGGGAACCCCTATGAATCAAAGCTCTGTACCATGCAAGGAATTCTGTCCTTCTGCACAGCAGAACCACATGGGTTACACTGGCAGGAGACGGTCTGCAGCCAAGGAATCAGTGATTAGTATAATAAATTCTTGTTCAAGGTGACTTTTAGTATTTCCCCCCTCTATTTTGGGCTGACCTTGCACTTAGTAAAATGTTCAGGGCTTACTAGCATCAGGACAGAAATCTCTACTAATACTAGTAATTCCTCACCCTACTCTGAATTCTGAATGGTATTAACAGCCAGATCCTCGAGTAAACATCTGGTCATAGGAGGGTTGTGAGTGTACTGTGAAAGGGTTTGTAAGGAAGGGGGAGACGTTGCCCTTTGGAGGTGGTCTGTTTTGTACCAATCAACATCCCAGATCTGGGGTTGGCTACCAGTTTCCTTCTGCCTGAATGTGCAGACTTTCAGCATACTGAATAGTATACCCAGTTCAAAACTAATTGGTTGGGGGTATTTCAATATACTGATGAGGAAGTAGTGTGACTTCCTCAAAAGTTGTCTCTGGAATTGAACTCTCACCTGTTTGCGCTCACAAACACGAAATTGGGTAACTGTGTCTCTCTTAATTTACACATGAAAATACCAATTTACACACATTAACAAATGCATTCAAAGACCACTGAAACTATGGCTGTAACAAGTTTGCTGTGTTCTTCTCTCAACCCACCCCATCAACAAGTATTGGAACACAGCAAGGAGATTTAATTAATTAATTCCTGCAGACTCACTATGGTAGCTATAGCTCATTAACTGCCTCTGCTAAATAACAGGGCTTGGGGACGAGGGGAGTGGTCCTCTCACAGGAGAGGAATCTAGATTGGAGGGCTGAGCTGCATCAAGAGAGGAATAGCCTGGGAAGGCAGCTTGGCTTATAATTCATCTTATGTATTTTGTGCTTATTAATAAAGCCAAACCCAAGTTCTGACCTTTCACAACATTAGTGCCTCATACTACATTCTGACAGCTCTCAAGTAGTGGTTAATTATGGTTGATTGAGGCTTAAATGAATGCCTTTGTTCTAACAAAACAGAGGGGGAAAGTTTGAGAATAAAGAGTATCACTTGGCACAGCTCTATGCCAATGTATTTTGAATACAGAGAGCTGAGCAAACATATTGTACTTCATTCCAGCGCTGATTTCTCATTTAGCTTTTTTGAATAATGAGAACTTAAACCCCAGTGTGGTATTAGTAATATAGGCATCTGGCACCACTGATCATTCTAATTTAATTTGTTCAATGAGCTGACTGATTTCATACCTTTTGTCCCTGCACATCTGTTATGATGTGGTCTACTTCCCCCTCCTCTATCTCCCCCATCTTCACAAGGCTGACGTCTATGGTACCAACTGTCTTTCCACCATCAGGAGTCCTGAAACCAAAAATAATTAAAATTAAAAAGTTTATTCTTCAGCAGCCTCTCGTCACTTCAATACAAATATTTATGTCAGTATACATTTGCTCTTCCATTCATTTTGTAGCCGCTTTCATTTGTATTAAACTCATTTTCTACTACCATAAAGTAAATGGTAACAATAGGACAGGAATATATTTGTCCAACACTGCTTATAACAAGGAGAACTTTGAATATATTAGTTAAAACTCTAGATGGGCAAGTGCTCCCTAAAAGAAGATGGAACTCTTCCACAAATACTATGAATGTTCTAAATATTCTTCTGACTACATTTAAAAAGCTACAGCAGTTCTGCACGCCACCATAGCACTTTAGTAGCTTTAAAGATGCTACTTTCTTATGACTAGTGTAATTAATCCACCTCCACAAGAAGCAGTAGCTATGTCAATGGGAGAAGATCTCCCATTGACATAACGCTGTCTACACCAGGGATTAGGTCAGTATAACTACATTGCTCGGGGGCATGGATTTTTCTGCAGTTATGCCAATGTGAGTTTGTAATGCAGACCTGGCCTAGGGTACTACTAAGAAAACTCCATTACACACTGTGCCAATGCCCCATTTTATAATCTGCCAATTTACTGCACACTTCAATTACTTTGGTTTATAACACTATCTGTCAGGAAAGGATATACAATGTGTATCACTAAACCTGCTGCTAAACCAAAATAGTGAAGCAAGTTTGAACACTTTTTGGCACTCCTCTCTATAGCTAACTAAGGACCAATACCATTCCTCAGCTACTGGGAAGATATTTCTAATCTACCACACAAATAAGCAGGGAAGAAACATTCCTGTATTCCTGAGTTTGTTGCCAATGAGTCAAAGATATAAAGTTCAAATTTGGATCTCTACATTTATGGTGGGATAAACGTCATCTGTAGCATGTAAGGTGCAGGGTGTCTCTTCAACTCCCACTGACTGCAAAACAGGACTAGGAGAGGGAGGTTTGGGGGATTATGAATGGTGAGAAGAACAGAGGACGGAGCTGGGTTTTAAGGAGAGGAAAGGAACTTGGAGGATGAAAAGTTGAAGACTATTCCAGGTGTAGGAGGCAGCATGATAAGAGGCATAAAATTGCAAGCAGTTAAAAGAGAGACTGGGAGTTCCATAGTCAGATGAGCAGATTGGGAAGAGTAGAGGGAATGAGGGACGGAAACGACTGCACAGATGTATTTGAAGGCAATATGAAGGCTACGATTTAGTCAGGGGTATTTTTAGTAAAAGTCATGGACAGATCATGGACAATAAACAAAATTCATGACCCATGACCTGTCCATGACTTTTACTAGAAATACCCCTGACTAAACCTTGGGGCAGCTGCTGCTGCGGTGGTGGTGGTGTGGGGGTGGGAGAGGTGCCCCAGGGAGCTGCTGCAGGGAGTGGGGGTGGTGTGCTAGTGGCACCAGCTGCCAAAAGCCACCAGACCAGCAGCTGTTCTGGCCAACCCGGGGACTGCTGCCCGTGCAGTCCCCAGGGCCGGCTGCCCGGGAACCACTCGAGCAGCAGCCAGTGTGGCTGGCCCCAAGCCGCTCCAGCTTACTCAGAGAAAACACTATGCCTCCTCCTCATCAACATCAACGTTTTTATGGTTCCTTACAAAAACTAATTAATCAGTCCTCACATAGGAAGTAGGAAATAAGTATTATTTTTGACATTTTACTGGGGAAATGGACAGGGAGATTAAGTGACTTCCCCAAGGTAATATGGGCCCTGATCCTGCAATGAGAACCCTATGAGCTTTTCCTTGCACCTGTGCAGAGCCTCACTGACTTCAGTGGGACTTCGTGCTGTTCTCACATGTGTTCTTAATTTTATACACTATGAAGAGTCACAAAATAAGTCAATGGGCCTACTCAGAGTGTGGAAAGTTAAGCACCGTGTAGGTCTTTGCATGATCATGGCCGTGTTCACCATAGTTATTTGGGATATTTTCCTGTTCCAACAATACATTCTTAAAATGTAGTGACCTCTGTGGTTTAAGATAAATGTTTACTTAGTGGTACTAGCCACTGTTCTCTAAAATTGAAGACATTTAAATGTATATACTCTGACAATACAGAAATACAATTTTTTCTTACATAAGCTTTGTAAAATTTTATATAAAGCTTTTGTGTGTTATGTATGGGTTTTGTTTGCTACAAACCAAGTGCACCAAACAATAATACAAAACAACACACAAACAACCCTACATTAACTGACCTATAAGCATGCAACGGGGTGGAAATTAGTAGTAAAGAATCAGGATTTCAGGTTGCCATGGGTATTTATCAACAATACGTAAACAATTTTAAAATTTATGAAAAATAATTTGCTAGTGTCCTTTTAAAAAACAAAAGGTAACGCTAGTTTAATGGATTCATGGCAGTTCACTCTGTCCTTTGAATGACTACAGACTACAGCTTTGACCTAATTTTTCATCTCTTTTCTCTTTCTTGTGTCACAATTGGCACAGGTAGACCAAGCTCCAGTACTGAATAGATAAATCAATCTATGAGGAGAAAGAGAGTATGCAATACAAACTGCTGTAGCCAGGTCAAATATACCCTTTAAAACTTCTGTATCATGTCAGGTGCAACTGGTAAAAGACGATAAAGAATGAGGAGTACTTGTGGCACCTTAGAGACTAACACATTTATTTGAGCATAAGCTTTTATGGGTTAAAACCCACTTCATCAGATGCATGCGGTTGAAAATATAGTAGGAAGATATATATATACACAGAGAACATGAAAAAATGGGTGTTGCCATACAGACTATAATGAAAGTGATCAATTAAGGTGAGCTATTATCAGCAGGAGAAAAAAACCTTCTGTCGTGATAATTAGGATGGCCCATTTCCAACAGTTGACAAGAAGGTCTGAATAACAGTGGAGGGGGGGGATAAACATGGGGAAATAGTTTTACTTTGTGTAATGACGCATCCACTCCCAATCTTTATTCAAGCCTAATCACCCGTTTTTTCATGTTGTCTCTGTGTGTGTATATATATCTTCCTACTGTATTTTCCACTGCATGCATCCGATGAAGTGGGTTTTAGCCCATGAAAGCTTATGCTCAAATAAATTTGTTAGTCTATAAGGTGCCACAAGTACTCCTGCCATAAACCGCTTACAATCCAAATGACAAAAACATAGAAGATGAGATGCACCAGAAACCTACAGGAATAATCTGAGTTTCATGCATGCACACACACATGCAAACACTCCTCTAAAGAGAGTGAAGGTCTAGCAAACCAGAATGGGGAATGCATTCCATGCTTATGGGAAAAAGGCACAGAAACGGGAATGGAAGAAGGAGATGAACAAGATTTAGAGACTGACAATCCTGGCTAAGTGGAGGGGACATAAAGGCAAGTTGTATGAGATGAGATCAGAGATGGACACTTGCCTTGAACATAGGTAACAAGAAGTTTAAAATCCATGTTGGGGAGCATGGGATGTGAGTGGAGGCAGAGGACAAAGTGGTCTGATCAAAGGGCAAAAAAGATAAGTTTAGTGTCTGCCTTTGGATGGACAAGTGAAATGACAGATGTGTCAGGGACTCCAGAGATGAGGGGGAAAAGGGGGGGGCGGTAAATCAAGATGGGAAATAATCAGCGCATGGATGAGTGTTTTCACTTTGGGGGCAGAAAGGAAAGCTTTGGATATGTCTTTAATGTTTCCTGTCTGGTGGCATAACTCAAGAAGAGTTATTCTTATGGGCCTGGTTAGACTAGGATTTAAAGACATGATGTCAGCATGTGCTAACTAACACTTGTAAAAGTCTAGCGGAGACAAGGAGAAAGAAACCAGCTCAGAATGTGCTAAAGGTCTTGTCTACATCAGACTCTTACCATGTAACACATGCTACATCAGACTCTTACCATGTAACATCACACTATTAAATTCTGGTCTTGACAAAATCTTGGTATTGTGGCCTAGCTAAAACCAGGATGTAATGTAGATCTCACAAGAAATGCTGGACATCTGAGAGATATTTGGAAGTTGGGCTATGTAAGAAACAAGGGTATATATTGATAAGCATCTGCACTTCTGTATACTTATTCAAATTGAAACACAGAATTTACATGTAATCTCTGTAACCCCCTTGTAGCGGGGTGGTTACCCCACTCAGGCCCTGAAGGGCTTAAAACAGCCCTGGGAAAGAGCTGTGGCAGGGAAAAAGCTGGGCTGATTGGGAAAGGAGCCACAGCTATATCCAGTGCAATCAGGGCCCAGCTGGCCCTTATAAAAGGGCAGTGGGCCAGAAGCAGAGACACACTCTCTCTGCCTTTAGAGGAAGAAGGGCCTGGCTGCTGGGTAGCGTACCTGGGTACCTAAGGCAGGGCAGGGCAGGGCAGGGCGAAGGTCAGAGGAGCTGGGGAGCTCCAGCCTGGAAACCCCCCAGGCTGCAGGCCTAATGTAAGGCCAAAAAGGGTACTGAGGTTGCAGGGGGCAGCCCACAGGTAGGCAGAGGCAGCAGGTCCAAACCCCCCTTGCCGGTGATGAGTGGCACTTACATTGAAGTCTGCCCCAGGGAATGGGGGCTAGTTGATGACGGGCAGTGGCCAAAGACTGAGGCGAGGTGGGGATAGAGGGTGGGGGGGGGTCCCCCAGGGAGGGGAGACCCAGATCTGTGGGGGTATGGCAGGTGGCAGCACCCCGGCGTGAAAGGGGACACCAGGGGTCCAGGAGGGACTTGGCCCAGTAGCAAGTGGGACACCAGCCTGCAGAGGGCGCTCCGGAAGCTGGAAGAACTAATTCCCTGGATGACCAGCAGGAGGCGCTGCATCAGTGAGTTGTCGCCCGGTTACATCCCTGGTAAAAAAAGTTATAATTTTACAGACAACCACCATAACAGAGAATGATAAATAACCAAGGATTTTCAGAAATGACTAGTGATTTGGGTTGCCTCAGTTTTAGGGTGTCCAGATTGAGACACCTTAAGGGGGCCTTAAAGTGCCGAGTATCCATCCT